CAAACACCTCTATCTTGCTCAAACCCTTTTACTAAGGCCTTGCAAAGACAAGCTAAACCCATGGGATGACCTCTTAGGTCCTAAGAGGTCCCATTTGAAGCCCAAGCTTTGGATCCACTTGGGTTAGCCATATTGCTTGACCGAAGTGTCTATGGAAAGTCCTCCTTGAGCTAAATCTCTCCTTGAGCTAAACCAAATCAATTCAATACTTGCATTAGGTCCCTCATGACCCAATGCACTTTCCATAGCTGAGCCAGCCCGTAGGTCAACTCAGGATGGGAATTAGGCTAGCTCAAAGTGGTAAAAATCACTTTGACTTAAGTCATTCCCAAACCTAGGCTTCACCTAGCCAAGTTAACACTTGTATTAGGTGGCCCTAGGTCCAGAAAACATGCCCTAATCAACCCAACCCTTGGATTGACTTGGATCAACACTTCAATTAGCATAATGTGGTCAAAACCAATTTGACTTGAGCTAACTTTCAACACAAACAAAAGTAAGCTCAACGACCTATTACATTGGAAATATCTTAACCTGAAAGACCATCCCCATCAAACCCAACCCCTAGATTGACCCATGTTGCACCCAACATGGCTAGAAAATACACTTTTGGGTTAACCTGAGTCACTTTGATGAATTTGTCCATCTCAGGCTCAATTGAGCTCACCATTAGACTCACCCAACCCCTAACAAGCTTTTCACCTCATCTTGAACTAGCTAGTGGCTAGCGGCAGCCTCATCAAATAGGAGAAAGCTCTAGAGGCCCCCCTTCAAGAGCTATGGACAAAGCTTCCCTAAGGCTATAGTTCACCTCCTTCGAGCTCAGGAGATCTCATTAAGTTATCCCCTTTAAGTTGGAAGCCATCCAATGTCTTTCCCAATTTATCCCAACCATCATTAGCTGCATCCATCACTTGAATAGGGACATTCATTTCAATCAAATTGATAACTCTTTAGTTTCTTGAATTCTATCCCAAGAGTTCTCTAAGAAATCCTACAGCTTCCCCTAGCCTTCCAGCCTCTTTAAAGCTTAGTTCGGGTGACCTTCGTAGAAATCCCTCCACCCTCTACTCAAATTTGTAACTCTAGTGATCCTCCAGCTACAACATCTGATAGAGAAATGTTCAACTTCATCTCCAGAAGATTCCTGATAAAAAAAAACCCATTTGTTGTGTCTTTCTATAAGGTGAAAACTCAATCCCGAGCTACCTAAAAAGGTAGTCAAATAAAGTGTAAAGAAAATTTCCAATCCAATGGATTTCAATCGATGTATTTAAAGCTCTCATCATTCTAATCCTCTGTGTGAAATTTCAAGGAAGTTCTTTGGATGGATCTCTTGGATCATGGCAGAGATGCTTAAGGGCTACAGAACCTTATGGGAGCTGGTAGACGTAATCAGAGCCGCCAATTTTAATAAACAGTTTCGATTAAATGTTGTGGTCTTGGGCCACTTTGAAAATTAACTGTTCGATCATTCATCAAATGATTATGGTTAATCCTGCATTTACATAATTAGTTGTAATAAGTGGTTGACAATTTTGGTATCACCCACATGGAAAATCTGGTTGTATGTGTAATTCCAGGTTTAATAATTCCAACCATTACACAAAACTTCAAAAAAATCACAACTCGTCACACACTTGACAAAATTAAGTGTTCTTAGGTCCATTGGAAAGGGTTCGAGGAGACTTACAAAAGCCTTTGGTTTCAAGCTGTGACTATGCATACAATTTAGTTAATTCTAGTAATAGTCCTAGGAGTATTTTTACAATAACTGCTTAAGGACATTTCACCATGGCTTGAAACCTTGGGAGATCAATCTTGGGAAAGTCTTTGATAATTCCAAATTTTCTCTCCTCTATTTGATTTGATCAAGGGCACGTGTGGGTTAATTGAGTTTTAAGGGTCATGGTTTAACCCTTAAATTTTACTTGACCTAATTACCTCTCCAATAAGATTTAGGTTGTGTTCCTTGGTGTGTTAGTTATGCTTAGTGTAAGGGTTAGATAGCCTCCAATTATACCCTAATCCCTGGTATAGATCTTCCTTGTTAAATTATTGAAGGTAACCCCAGGGTTGCCTTTGGTGGTTTTGTTAACCACCATTGAGGATCCATCTTGGGTTTAAATTTAGTGGGCTTGGGCCTTGAGATCAAGTGAACTAATGACCAAAGTTTCACTGAAATTGCACTCCATTTGGTCACCATTTAGGAGACCCAAAATCAACTTAGGATTTTAATTAAAACATAATTACTTAAAATTAAACCTTACAAATCCATATAATATATCAAAATACACATAATTGAATCCCAAACCTAAGAAAATTAAAATACCGATTAATTGATTTTAATTTTAACATGAATCTAATTTTTAATGAAGATTAATATTTAATTAATTTAATTAATTAAAAGCAATTAATAATTTTAAAAAAATTCTTAAACACTTGAGAGCACTCCCTCGGGTCATTCCTAACCTTTGTGAGTGATTACAAGAATTTTAGAATCAATTTGTATCAAAACCCTTAAAGCCACCCAATTAAGCAATTTAAAAATTTCATTAATTAACCAAACTTTGAAAATTCATAAGTTATTACAAAAAATTCTAATTTGACCAAACTCAAAGGAAATCAACTATATTTAAGGTATAGTATTTATTAAAAATGTAAAATCATCATTAATAAATCAAAGTTAAAAAGTCAACTCTTTCATCAATTGTAGTTCAAAATTACATTAAGACTTCAGAAAATCATAATTTAATATAGAAAAATCTAAATCTTGCAAGCTTAGAGTCTAATTTCTCATCTTAAGGTCTAATATTTAGGAAAAGTACCTAAAATTCTAAAATCACTTTAATTTAAAAGTCATTTTTGAACCCTTTTAATTAATGCATATAATTAATTCAAAAAAAATCTTAAAATTCAATAATTGGTTTAAATTCAAGAAATTATTAATCTTAATAATTCAAACTAGTAATCAATCCATTAAATTAAAATTTATTAATATTTAATCTTCAATCAGTCAAATCACTTAATTAATACCACTTAATACTAGGTAGCCCAGGCCTAGAAGGCAATTAACTTAGCCCCAAGGAAGGTGAAATAAACTTCACGGCCCTGGTGTAAATAAATATAGTAATTAATTAACACTTAAATGCATTTTAAAATCTACTTTAAAAAACTAATACTTAAATTTGAATCTAAAACCCCTTTAAGCATTCAACAAATCAAAACGCTATGCAACTTTAACCAATTACTTGATATAGGATATATTTAAGCCACACAGCCTTCAACAACACTCTTTAGATGGTTTGCTAGGATAACCGACTCTAGATCTATGCTAGGTTAGTGTTTACTTTACTACTGTTATGTGCTGAGTTTCTATGCTTTTCACTACATGTTATTTGATTTTATTGATTGATCTGATAGTTTATTTACTTATACAATTTTGTGAATTGATTTAATGGGTGATAGAATAACCTTAGGTTAGGAATGATCTGGATGCTCACATAATTTTTTGTAAGTGGTCATGCTCATGCATGGCTAAATTAAGGGGGCAAAATAAAGCCTTAAGCTGACAATTTTTTTGCATGTGCAAAATGCTAAGTCTACCTTAAAAATTAAAAGAGCATGGATGTGAAATTAATTTGAGCATTTACTTATATAACTACTTAGTATGTTTTAATTATAACTGCTCAAGGTAACCATATAGGGTGTCTAAAATTTTTATATATTTTTGATATGTAATGTATTTGAACTTAAGTTATAACATGAAAGCGATATTTGAGCTAGGATATACATCCAACTTAGAATCCAAAGAGGAGGGAATATCCCTTAGGTGAGAGTTTCCTTCCATTTGGATATCTAAGTTAGGGTGATTTCAAATATCCAAAAAAAAGAAAAAAAAGAAAACACCCCTTCAGGGAGGAGTTTCATTTCATTTGGATATCCAGAACCAACAAATCTGAGGAGCTCATAGAAGGACGAAGAAGTGAAGATATAGAGTATCTCACTTAAAGTCACTTGCATTTGTCCTAAGATTAGAATTTAAGTTATTATCAGTAGTATACAAACACTTTTAATTTATGTAGACCCTAGATTATAAATTAAGTTGCATTTATCACATGGACATTCTTTTACATTTAATTAATTTAATTTGATTATTAATTTGATTGATGTGCTTAATTTCATGCCTTAGTAATTGCCTTTTTTTAATTTTCTTTTCTTGCATGCTGATTTTTATTTAACCTAGATACGCGGAGGCTCATGGGGGTACACTAAAAATCTTTTCTACTTAAAATTAATTAAAATTTTAAGGCTCACATAACAAGTCTAATGACTTAAGAAGAAAGGTCGGGATCTCCAAGAGTCTACATAAGCATATTAAATTCTTCTCATCCTTGTTAGGTACCTCCCTGCATACAGGTTCTGGCAGATCACCAGGCCTATTAGGGTACGACTGTGTCAAGAGAATGTCATACAATCTCTAAGATAAAATTAATTTTATGTCTGATTTCAAAACTACTTCATATCAATTTCATACATTTATCGAGTCAATTAGCATGCATTGCTTTAGAAAAAAATTAAAAGAGTCTAAAATTTTAAATTACATTTTCTTAAGTATGATTACCCTACATAAGTCAAGGGGCCACTTAGGATTATCTCTAGATGTTAGCCCCAACTCAAAACTTAATTAACATCCTACTACTCTTTCATAAAATGGATATGACTCGTAGTTTTTAGGTGCTTAGGTGATTAGCCTGCTCCCCAATCTAGATCGGGGTAAGTCCAAATTTTGTACTTCATTTGCTAGGTTCAGGCTAATGTCATTCAGAAGGTCTCTCTTAGAAGGCCATTATAAGTTATTGATGGCCATTTATTCAATTAAAGCATATGCTTCATCTAAGGGTTTGGACATCAAAGAACCTCCAACAACAGCATCAATGTTTAATCTAAGTGATCAAACAACTCTATTATAGAAGGTCTGAATGACTAGGTAATTATGAAAGGCATGGTGTGGGCACTTTTTAATAAATTCCTTAAATCCCTTTCAAGCTTCATATATTGATTCTACATCTAGTTGAGAGAATGAGGTGATGCCTTTAATAAGTTTTGCAGTTTATGTAGGGAAATACTTAGCTAAAATTTTGTGAGCTAAATCATTCAATATGGTGCTTGAGCTCATAGATAAAAAGTTCAAACACATATTTTCCTTGTACCTAAAGGAGATTAGAAATAATCTAAGTCTAACAACAACATTAAATATCCCATTATACTTAAATGTTATGCATATCTCTAAGAAGCTAGCTATATACGAGTTGGGATCTTCCATAGGAGTTCCCCAAACAGAGAATTTTGTATCATTTGAATGATATGATGCTTTAACTCAAAATTATTATCCTGAATATTGGGCCTATTGATAGTTTGATAAATTCCCTCTATCATGGGGGTTGCATACTCTCTAACGGGTCTAGGTTGGTCATTTTCTTAGATTGGTTCGATCATTTTTAAATCAATTTATTATTTTTTAGATTTTAAATTTTTTATAAGTTTTTTCTATTTTAGGATTAAAAATAACTTCTCCTAGTTGGACTCTATTATGCATGCAAAAACATACAAAATATGAAAATATAAATAACAACATAATTCCATAATTAATAGTGCAACAATATACTAATACAATAGAAATAAACTATAATACCAACACAAAAATTAAATTAACAAAGATAATGATAAGATTAAATCCGCGTCCTTTAAATAATATAATGATAAAAAGATATTAATATAATATCCCTAGTAACGATGCCAAAAACATGATATGATGTATAATAATAAAGACTATTTTCTATGTAAGTCTTGATTATATGCAAGTGTACATGTTGTGTTAAGTAATAAAGTAATTAGCAAAGTATCCTTCTCATGAGTATAGCTATTACCCTAAATTCACTCTAGTCTTCATATAAAAATTACCAAATTTATCTTATTTGTATAATTATAAACATGTTCTAATAAAAGTCTTGAACTACGTCTTAAAAAGAAAATCCTATGTCTAAGAGACTATAAACCTATAATAATTTACGCTCGATGAATGTATAACATAGATCTGTTATATTGATGTTTTGAATCAGAGCATAAAGACTCCTTTGAAATTACTAAATGACAAGAGGAGGGGTGAATTGTGAAAAACTTTTTCTCAATAAAAAGTAACCCTAAACAGGAGTTCTAATCTTTTTGTTATTTTTCGGGGTCATGGGTTGCAACATCCTTATCTCTGTGGAGCTCATTGGAATTTCTAGCTAATATTTCTCTAAGATACAGTGATTGTATATTTTTAAGAATCCAAGATTTTATCCACCATATGTCTATGTATAGCAAAATCTCATTTAAAACCCTCTAATCATTTCCACTACACTTCCATCGAGTATGCAGACTGCACTAAATTTTAAGTTTACGCAAGGCCTATACACAAACTAAATGAAGTATGAAAGATTTAAAAATAACATAGCATTACAATCTTTCAAGGAGATTTTACTCTTATATAAAAATTATTCTAAACATATCATAAGCCTAGAGAAATATTTTAGTCATCCATGAAAATTAAATTAAATAAAATATAATTCACTTAATAAATAAAAGTATAGGAGGTAAGATGAGGATAAATATCACTGTAAAGTTTTTACAACATGATTACATACTCTTTCCAATAAACTTGACTTCCTTGGCTTGTGCTTCCTCTCCCTCTCCATCTAGACTCTACTTAAATTGATTACAAAATGAACAATTGACCAACCCTGTCCCTCAATTTGGACATAATTATTTGTAGTTTTTATAAATAAATGAACTAGCATCACGATGCTAGCCTTAGTAGAATTATCACACTACTAAACTGACATGTTAATTCATCATTCATTACATCAATTTGCCAGTCTAATAGTTAGTAACTATCACCCATAGTGATGCTACAGTTCTTGACCTGGCACTTCTACTCTCCTTCCATACTACATTAGCACCTTACTCTCTATCAGAAATCCAACCTTTTATCACTACATTGCTTCTTTATAATTCTCCAGCATTCATGATGAGTTTAGAGCTGTGACAGACTGTGGTGGTGCCGTGACGCTCCTTCAGTTATGGTTGTATTAATTTTTTCCTAACTTAAAGATAAATTTAAATAAATTTTTTATAAAAATAAGTGTAATTTGGATTATGGATTTATTTTTTTCATCAAGTCTTTAATAAAAGAACATTATTAGTAGAAGAGTCAACCCATGTAGTATTTTATGATACCTATAAAGATACCCCACCTAGAAAAGAGGATGAAGAAGGTGACATCATTTTTGGAATTGAGAATATAAGTTTAGAAAATAGAGAAGAGAGTTGGGTTCCCTTGCGTAGAGGGTAGAGATGTGCATTTAACCATCTTAAGGGGCTAATCAAAAGAGAGTCATCTATAGGAGTTAGGACTAGACATGGACTTGGAAAAGAAGTTAGCCACACTTACTTCATGTCTATGGTAGATCCCACAAGTGTAGAGGAAACCCTAAAAGATGAATATTATAATGTAACAATGCAAGAGGAGTTAAATTAATTTATAAGAAATGATGTAAGGGAGTCACTGGCTAGGCCAACTGAATAATGTTGTAGGAACAAAATGGGTATTCAAGAACAAACTAAATGACTTTATATCAATTATAATGATTAAGGCTAGGTTGGTTATAAAGGGAAAAAAATAACTTAAGGGGATTGATTCTAAGTAAATCGTTGCACTGGTAGCTAAGATAGAAGCCATCAGGGTACTTTTAGTATTTTCTTATTTTAAAGGCTTTAATTATACCAAATGGATATTAACAGTAAATTTTTGAATGAAATTATTAAAAAATATTAATATAGAGCATCCCCTAGGATTTGAGAGTTCAACATCCCCTAATCATGTGTATAAACTAAGAAAGGCATAATACAAATTGAAATAGGAACCTAGGGCATGTTGCGATAGGTTTAATATGTTTCTATTAGAGAAGTCTTATTCTAAGGAAGTTATAGATACCACTCTATTTTTTAAAAGAATTAGAGATGATATACTAAATGTGCATATCAATGTGGATGATATTCTCTTTAGATCCATTGTTGATAAATCATGTAAAGAATTCTCATCCACTTTGAGTAGTGAGTTTGAAACGAGTATGATTGAAAAGTTGCCATATTTTCTTAGATTTAATGTCAAACGAAGAGAAGACAATTTATTCCTAAGCCAAATAAAATACATAATAGAAACCTTAATGAAATTTGATATAGAAGGCTATATAATTGTGAACACACCCATGAGCTTGGCCACCTAATTAGATAGGGATCAGGATGGAAAGTTATGCAATCAAAAGAAGTATAAGGGAATGATAGGATCATTACTTTATCTCAAGATGACCCTTAGAAATTCCCCCTAAACCAACACTAGCCAATTATGAGCAATATTATGTTGAATGTGCATGTTATCTAATATGTTCTTCTGCACTATATGATTCTAAAGATATGTTATTATACTAATATTACCCATTTACTCTCACTATCACACACTTCTACATGACTAGCATCCAATTCAATTCTATAAATATGACTATTAGGTACATTAAATGCCTAACCTCCATCGAGCCCATCGTAGGTAAAACATATGCTTAGCACACATCATTGCCTACATCTTAGAAGAAAAGTATAACCTCACCTACCATGGACCAGTTGATCACAAACCCTCCTACTTCACAAACCACTCCTTTCACATTTTTATAATGAAATTCATATGACTACATATGTAGAGGCCATCCTGGATTCAAAAGATGAAAAAGAAGGTATAGCTCTTGCTCAACCCCCTCCTTATGCTTATTACTACCCCAGGATGCATGGAAAAAGGACTTTTTATGGCTAGAAATCAAAGTTGGCACACACGTTAAACAATCAATCCAGTGGTGGTAGGAGATGCAACAATAGCACGAGGTAGACCGTGTATGATTTCAACATGAATTATCTACTCTTTAGAGCTACTTTTCAACCACCCCCTCATATACTATCATATTTATGATTTTCTTTGTATTATTTGTTTAATGTATTATATTTTGCTTTGAAGTGGGTTTTCTTTTTTATTATCCTTCTATTTTTGAGATGTCAAAAAGTGAAAGTATTAATACTGTTAGTATGTAATCTCTAGATTTCTATATTTGTTTATTGTTATATATATATATATATTATATATATATATAT